TATTTAAATATTCTATTCGGAATGGGCGACTCTTATACAAGGGAAGATTTTATGTTGGTACTAATTATACTTTTCGAAGTACTGTTCTGCAGGAGTTTCATTCCAGCCCCGTTGGTGGACATTCTGGCTTCCATCAGACCTTGTATTGTGTTCAACAAGATTTCTATTAGCCAAATATGCGCTCCTTTATTAAGAAATTTATACAAGAGTGCGAAATTTGTCAAAGAAACAAGACTACAAATACTTTGCCTGCTGGTCTTCTACAACCTCTGCCCATTCCGAATCAAATTTGGGTTGATATCTCAATTGATTTTATTGATGGCTTACCTAAATCAGGTGGCAAGGATGTTATTTTTGTAGTAGTTGATAGGTTGTCGAAATATGCATACTTCATAGCTCTATCTCATCCTTATACAGCTTATTCCGTTGTGCAAACCTTTTTTGATAACGTCTTTAAATTTCATGGAATGCCTAAGACAATCGTAAGTGATCGAGATAGAGTTTTTCTTAGTGATTTCTGACAGCAATTATTCAAGCTACAAGGAACAAGTCTCCAATTCAGTTCGGCCTATCATCCTCAGACTGACGGCCAAACTGAGGTGGTGAATAGGTGCCTAGAAACTTATCTTCGATGTTTTGTAAGCCTTTGACCTAAAGATTGGGTGAAATATCTCACCTTGGCAGAATAACACAAATATTCATTCTTCTACTGGTATCTCTCCCTTGAAGCAGTCTATGGTTGCAAACCTCCGAAACTTGTTCCTTATACAGATGGGTCAAGCACATTGCCACAACTTGACGAACAATTAAGGGACCGTGATTCAATTTTAAAGTTGTTGTGTTAGAATTTGCATGAAGCTCAGAACAGCATGAAGATTTTTGCAGATAGGAGGCGTGCAAAACGAACTTTTAAGATCGGTGATTATGTTTATTTACGCCATCAGCCTTATCGCCAATGTTCGGTAGCAGTCCGAAAATCTCTTAAACTTTCACCTCGTTATTATGGACCTTTTCAGATTTTAGAAAAGGTTGGAGCAGTGGCTTACAAATTAAATTTGCCTTCTTTAGCAAAAATACACAATGTTTTTCACGTCTCTCAGCAGAAGAAAAAATTGGGCGATCAAGAAGTACCACAAATTTCACTTCCTGAAATTTCTACCGAAGGAATATTGGAGCCGAAGCCTGCTCAAAATTTGGAACGTTGTATTGTTCGCAAAGGTCAAAGAAATATCACAGAAATTTTAGTTCAGTGGGTAGGTACTTCTAGAGACAGTGCAACATGGGAACGACTCTTAGATATGAAGAGGCATTTTCTAAAACTTAACCTTGGGGACAAGGTTAATTTTGAGGGGGAGACACTGTTACGTGCATAATGGGGTTGATAGCTGAAGTAGAGTTTCCTTGTTGTAGTTGAATTAGTCTCCCAGCTGAATTAGTCTCCCTATTTTCTCTCTTTTTATCTCCTTTAGAATTGGTCTTCTATTAACTTTTTGTTTCCTAGATAATAGGAGTTTGTTTTGTAACAAACTCTATCCTTCTTGTATTTAAGAGTTTGACATGAATAAAGAAAGTAAGAATAAAATTAGACTTAAAGTCTTGTGGAGGTTGCTACCCTCGAAGTAGCTTGGAAACTTAATATTTTTCCATCCCACTCTCTTTTATTTTCACTATAAACTCTTGTTCAGTCATAAGGAACGTATCAATATGCTACTAATCTCATAGTATAGGAGTGTTATGTGTACATTATCTTATATATATATATTTTTAAAAAAACTTTTTTCTCTATATATATATATCTAAATATTTTTTTTAAAACTTTGAGAATTTGTAGAATAAGGATTTGAATTTTTTGAGATTCCAGTTTACTCTTTTCTACTATTTTTTTTTTCTTTATATATATATTTTTGGTACCAACAATGTTAAAATAAATAAATAAATAAATAAAAATTTGTAATATCAGTGTGCATTAGTTTTCGGAATTTGGAAAATTTTTGTTTTATTTAGTTTGCACTTTATTTTTATTTTTTATTTTTTATTTTTATTTTTACTTTTCTTTTGTAATTTTATTTTTATTTTATATTTTTATCTTTACTTGTTCATTGCCGGCGTCCTGCAATGGTGTCATTTTCGGTCATTTTATAAAACTATTTATTTTTATATATTTTATAAAATGATTCAGTAAGAGTAATTTTGTCAACTTAGGGTTTAAATTTGTCAGAATGATCTATTTGAACCGGATTGAAACTTTTTTAGGGATGTTTTTTTGTACGTAAAGGGCATCATTCAATAGTGTCATTTTCGATCATTTTACAAAATTATTTATTTTTATATATTTTATAAAATAGTTAAATAATAATAATGCAGTGAACTTAAAATTTAAATTTATTAAAAAGATCTATTTGTATTAAATTAAAATTTTAAATATATATTTTTTTGCACACGAGTAGTGGGACCTTTAATCTAATTAATGATTGAATGAATTAGTTTTGTGACGGGATTGATTGTGTCACGTTTGAATGGCAGGTTGTGACCCATGATTATACTTTTGCAATATAAAACCGTACATCATATAAAAGTAGAAGATTTTGTTAGATATGGCGGGGGGAATTGTCTTTTATTCATTTAGTAAACTTAATTGTTTAAACAATACATGATTTACATAATATAAAGAGTACAAAATTTATAATTGGACCTCTCAACAAACAAATTTAATAATTAAGGAAAAATACATCTTTTAGACAATTTTTACAAGATGAATAATGGTACAATTAATATAAAATAATTAAAATTAATAATAGCAAAATAGACTTTATGAAATAGCTGGCGTAATAAAAGAGTGGATGATGCAATATATATATAATCTGGCAATGATACAGGGAAGATTCAAAGATTCAATTTTGGCACACACACAGTGAACACACAGAGAAAGAGAGAGGTGGGGTCACATTTTCATGAAGGGAAAAGTCTGAAAAATACTTTTGTGGTTTTTAATTTGTGCGGATTATATCTGTTTTTATTAAATTTGTTTATATAAATTCATATTTAGATATAAAAATATGCAATTAAGCACTTTCGGTGAGAATTTGGTGAGTTGGTCCTGTGCATGACAGATGACCATTTTAAACTCTTTATTTCTAAAATTGTCATTTTATATATTTTTACTATCTCTCACCATATATGTGTGTGTGTTATATGTGTGTGTGTATGTGTGTGTATATATATATAATTTCACTTTCTCTTTCTCTCCCTACAGTCTTTCTCTATCTTAGTTTGATTTATAGTCTCCGGAATTGGCACCAAGCGAATTGTAAATTACTGAAATAATAACAATAATAATAGCGGTAGTTATCATAGCGAATGAGTATAGTAGATTTAAGTAGAGTAGGGTCATCTTTCAATATTGTTTGAATCTGGAATTTTTGGATTTGGTTGATGTGTGAATATGAAATAGCTGGCGTGATAAAAGAGTGGATGATGCAATATATATATATATATAATCTGGCAATTATACAGGGACGATTCAAAGATTCAATTTTGGAACACACACAGCGAACACACAGAGAAAGAGAGAGGTGGGGTCACACTTCCATGAATGCAAATAATTATGAAGATTCCTGGTAGATTCATAACATAAAGTGGCGTAGTGAATTGCTGACTTGAAAAGTGGACTCACAATTTGTTCAAAATTGATAAATAATGAGAATAATAGTGCATGAAATGATCCGAACCGTCCGCTGTGGTGGAGGATCTGAGCTCATACCCAATACCTCCTAATAACTCTTCCCCGAGCAGACAATGCAGGCCAACATAATCCTAAATGGTGGGCCGGCGGCTATAGCCATTTTGGCACCATATATTTAATAATTGAATGCTCTTCTTTAAAAGTGCAAAGACAACTCATTTTAACACGATGGCCTTGAAATTGGATTTGAAGAGCTCGTTTGGGGTGGTTGTTGGAATAAAAAAAATGCTTTTGTCAATAAAACTGTTAAAAAATTGAGATTGTGTTTGGTGACATAATTATTTTTTGATTTATTTTTAAAAATATTTTTATTGCTAATTTTATAATAATACCAACTTTATTAAGAAATAAATATAATTTTCTTTATGAAAAATAAAAATAACATAATTGACTAATGAAAAATAGTTACTTAAAATATTCAACTTCTACTCCTTTTAAAAACTCCAAATATACTAGTTTCATTCAAAAGCTCTATTGAATTAAATTTAGTAATTATTAAAAAACCAAACACATCTAAATACAATTTTTTTAAATAAAAGCACTTTTAAGCAGTACAGAAGCAATCTCAAACGGGCTCCAAGTCGAACTAAGGACAGGTTGAATCTTGGTCCGCCTTCAAAATCAGGATCCTTTTTTTATGTCTCAAAGTGTCTGATAATCTCTAATGTAATAACTTTACATTATTTATACACTAAGTTTAATTCGACAATATAACAAGAAGTTAAATTAGAAGACAAGTCCGGCTTCGAAATGAGGATCCCATATATGTTAGTCTCTGATGCAATAACTTTACATCATCAATTAAACTACTTTTAACCGACAATATAATAATGTAGTTCTATTAAATTCTTAATTAAATGATGCTATAAAGTTGATATATTTTTAATATAAATGTGTTACATAATTTATTTAAATTATTATTATTTTTTTATAGAAGAGATATTCCCACATATTACAATTGAGATTAATTCACGCACAAACAACACTCCCACAAGACGTACACTAGATAAGACCGGACAAATGGGGCTCATCCTAACTTATTTAAATTAACGTTTTGAATTTCTCCTTCACTTTTGATTTATATAAAGTAGGTTCACTAATCTTTATCACGAAGGAGAATAAAATAAAATAATAAAAAAATCTTTTAACATGAGAATTAATTAAATAAACAATAGAAGCAAATAGACAAAATGATAAACATGAGCGTCCAGGTTCATCCTCCCGAAATGAGTATATAAAAAAAAAACCTACCTAATCAACACTATAAAATCTAGACGTGAAATCTATCCCAAGTCCAGTAACTATTTCATATTGTATCCCACGTTGGAACATCCCACATTTTATTCCCAAAATACCCCCTCTGTCTCTCTCCTATCTCCATCGTTATTGTTAATTTAGTAACAACTATACCAGAGAGGGGTCTAAAAGTCAGTCTCGACCTTCAATGGCGACCATGGCCTCTCTCTGCATCAAAACCTCAAACCCGTATCACTTTGTACCCAGAACCCACAAAAGTCATTTCATTGCACCCCTCAAAACGTCCATTTCTCTTCATCCGAACAAGAGGACTCATCAGAAGGCCCGAATTTCTTGCGGGTTGATCGACCCGGATGGTGGGAAGCTTGTGGAGCTCTTCGTTGACGAGTCCAAGAGAGATGAGAAGAAGAGACAAGCCTTGTCGATGCCTCGAATCAAGCTGTCTCGGGTTGATATTGAATGGGTTCATGTGCTCAGCGAGGGCTGGGCCAGCCCATTAAACGGATTCATGAGAGAATCCGAGTTCCTCCAAACACTTCATTTCGGGTCGCTCCGACTCGACGACGGGTCAGTCGTTAACATGTCGGTGCCGATCGTGCTCGCCATTGACGATCTGCAGAAGAATCGGATTGGCGAGTCGAAATCCGTTGCTCTCGTCGACTCCGACGATAACCCGGTTGCTATTTTGAGCAAGTAAGCATTTTGGTTTTTTTAATTTCCTCTAAATTCCATTTTTGTTATGTCATATATATATGTATGAAATTATTATAGTGTGAAGGCTATTTAGTAGGAGTATATGATTTTCTTTATTGTTTCTTGTGATTTCTATATATATATACAATGTGATAACCGTGTGTAAATTTAGTTGTATGATGTAAATTACTAAATTATGATAATTTTATTTGTATCAATGCGATAACGACCACTTTCTTGGTTGAATTCCTCCAAATTTTCATTTTGATTTGCAAATTTTGTTGATTTGGACCCTATCTCTCTGTCTTTCCCAAGTTTCATTTAAAGTTCAAAATGGCTTTTGGTGGGTTGATTGTTTGTTAAATTTTAAAAAAAGAAAAAAGAAAATATATGACAGAGGCTGACTTTACGATGTTCTCCAGTATACTTGGGATATTCACAGCACAAAACAATGGACCAGTAAACATGAATACTAGGAGTATCAAAAGATTCGTATTAATTTCTATTGCCGAAAATTACCTCTAAAATTTCCTCAATTTTATAAAAATTTTAGTTTCTTCTCAAGTAATTTTATGTTTTTAGTCCATCAGATTTCGATACATAGATAATCAAATGCACATCTTACTGATAAACCTTCACTTTTACTGTTTAAGCTAAAACTTCTCCGGTGAAATTGGACATATGGCTTGCTACAACATCATGCAGCTTGTAACAGGGTGCCTTATGCTTCATTTCAAATGCTTAGGGCTGCCTAAAATATCAAAATTTGTTAATTGTTAAGTATTTAATTTTTTACTTAATGCTGGATTGTAATTTTTTCTTGGGAGAATTGCAAAAAAACCCCCCTCGACCATCACTCACTTGCAAAAAACCTCCCTTCTGAATACTTTTAGCAAAAAAAAACCCTCAACTATATACTGAGGGGGGTATTTTAACTTAACACCGTGCAATGATTTTTTGAGGCAATTTTTTGGACCAAATTACCCCTCAATGTTGTGGACCGGGTCATTGTTCATTCCTCCATTAAATCCGGTGAATACCAAATTCAGTCAAACCCAAATGTTCACTCCTCCTTCTTCCCCATTCACATTCACGCCATAACTGTTTAAGAACTGGATACCTCTGCAACAATTTATTTATTTTTGGGTAAAATCTCTGCAACATCTTCCTTGGGCGAAAGCAAGAGAATCAAACAGAACAACGTAGTTGCTGAGACACAAGCTCCACAAGAGGCAAAGACTGAAGTTTTAAGCTTGTCTCAAGCTGAAAGTAATAAAACAAGTGCAGAGCAAGATCAAATTATTGCTTAGCAGTTCAATGGTCTGAACTGTGAAGGTTTTTTTCTGGGGGTGTTTTACTGCCTTCATTCCTTATTTTATCTATTTGAGATTGGTGTGGAGAAATAAGGTTTCGTATTAAGTATATAGAATTTAAAACAGACCTAATATTTGGGAATGTTCCAATCATCATTGTTGATTCTGTAGAATATGCGTACTAAGGGGTTATGAGTTGTCTTGCTATAATGGAATTAAGGATTATAATATGTAAATTATTGTGCCAACTATGGAATTTATGATTTAAACTTCTATGATTCAGTTTTGTTTGGATTCTTCTACCGTGGACTGACTTCTTGTTTTCTTTTTAACGCACTCCTTCAACAAGAAGGGTCCAATTACACAAGGAAAGCATAGCTTTCACAGAATTATATATGCCACTCCCACTCTCTATTCATTCTGGTGCTGCAGTAACGTTTTGATAATAGATGAGAGAGAGATGTTGCAGTGGTGGTATGGAGAGAGAAAAAGTTGGGGGCGGTGGTGGTGGTGGTGGTGGTGGTGTTGAGAGAAAAAGTTGGGGAATAGAAAAAAGACTATTCATCTTCTTCTTCGCATCTTAAAAAATAAATTTCTTGCAAACCTAACCTCTCTCTCCCTTTACTGTTACACCCAAACAAAGAAAACTAGGATGATGAATCATCCCCACCTACCCAACAAGGAATACTGCTGGCGTCAACTTGGAACCCCATAGAACCCACACACACACACAAATACAAACACTATTTATCTTCTTCTTTGCATCCTTTTGATAAAAAAAAAAAAATTTCTTGCCCGTCGTCGAATTGATGGTTCAAATTGAGACCCAATTGATTGTTTCGGCGAACCCAAATTGAGAACCCAGCATATCCTATCTTCATCAGCTCCTACAAATTTGGGGGTTTCGCCCAAGGAAGATGTTGCAAAGATTTTACCTAAAAATAAATAAATTGTTGCAGAGGTATCCGGTTCTTAAACAGTTATGGCGTGAATGTGAATGGGGAAGAAGGAGGACTGAACATTTGGGTTTGACTGAATTTGGTGTTCTCCGGCTTTAATGGAGGACTTAACAATGACCCAATCCACAATGTTGAGGGGTAATTTGGTCTAAAAATTTGCCTCAAAAAATCATCACACAGTGTTAAGTTAAAATACCCCCCTTCAGTATAGTCGAGGGAGGTTTCTTGCTAAAAGTAATCATAAGGGGGTTTTTTTGCAAGTGAGTGATAGTCCAGGGTTTTTTTTTGCAATTTACCCCTTTTTTCTGCAATATGTTCCATAACATGGGATTTTGTGAATTAACTCAAATGGACATTTTACCCCATATTTCATTTACTTTATGCATGTTTAGCTATATGACTTGTCAAGAATTCTCACACCTTTCTTTGTCGCAATTACAGTATTGAGATCTACAAACACAACAAAGAAGAAAGAATTGCAAGAACATGGGGTACCACTGCCCCTGGTCTTCCTTATGTCGATGAAGCTATAACTAATGCTGGAAACTGGCTGATTGGCGGTGACTTGGAGGTTATAGAACCAATTAAGTATCATGATGGTCTTGATAGGTTCCGCATGTCCCCTGCAAAACTTCGTGAGGAATTTACTGCACGTGGTGCAGATGCAGTTTTTGCTTTCCAGCTCAGAAATCCTGTACACAACGGCCATGCTTTGCTGATGACTGACACTCGTCGTCGGCTTCTTGAGATGGGCTATAAGAACCCTGTCCTCTTGCTTCATCCATTGGGAGGCTACACAAAGGCTGATGATGTTCCACTAAGTTGGCGAATGAAGCAACATGAGAAGGTCCATTCACTTTCTTATCTTCTTAACTGTTACCATAATTATAGGCATTGTCTGACTGTTTGTTGGATACATAAACTCCGATAATGTAGTCCGGCAAGAGATTAAAAATTACCTCAGTAAAGGCCCTTTGCCGTAGGCTTGATTTTCCCAAAGCTCCTCTCCCAACCCAGCCAAAAGAACAAAGGAAAATGAGGAAAAAATAGGGATAGGATCCTAATCATTAAATTAAGATGACTACCAAAAAATCTGCTCAATCTGAGTTTGTTCCCATCTCCAACAAAAATCTCGAAAAATTTGACAAATCTCCTATAGGACCTAAGAAGTACGGACACGGATACGACACGACACGGACACGGCGACACGGCAAGTCCAAAAAAATTAGGACACGGACACGGCGAATAGTATATATATATATATATATATATATATATATATATATATATCAGCATTAATAATTTTTTAAAAAAAACACTGATATGTTTAGGTTGGAATATATATATATATATATCACTGATATGTTAGTATATATATATATCAGCATCTTTAGGATACGGACACGGCGAATTGTGGCATCTTTAGGTTAGTATATATATATATCAGCATCTTTAGGGTAGTACAAAATAAAAAATAGAACATATCAGCATTAAAAAATTTTTTTTTTAAAAAAAAATTAACATATCAGCATTAAAAATTTAAAAAAAAAAAAAAAAAAAAAAAAAATTCCAGAAAAGTGTGTTCCGAGCCGTGTCCGAGCCGTGTCTGAGCCATATCCGAGCCGTGTCCGAGCTGTTTGAGCCGTGTCCGTGCCGTGTCCGAGCTGTTTGAGCCGTGTCCGAAAATTAAAAAAAATAAAAAAATTCCAGACACGTTTTTTGGCGTGTCCGACACGTGTCGGGGCGTGTCCGACGCGTGTCCGTGTCCGTGTCCGTGTCCGACACGTGTCGGACACGGATTCTTCGCCCATTTTGGAGTGTCCGTGCTTCCTAGTATAGGACTGAAAAATGCGGAAATGAGCCCAAACCAACTTATTTCATGAGCGTAGCTGGTGATTCTTAATCGTTTGATTATTTCCAATCGGAAATGGGTCTCTGTGGGTTGAACATCGCTCGCTCATCAAAACTGCACCGAAAACATTGTCGGTCCCACCATTTGGGTTTCTAAGGGACCAAACGGCTCACGTATGCTTCGGCAATCTTTTCTGCATCATAATCTATATTCTTTTTAGCGAAGAGAAACATGTTAATTCCATTTTTAATTGGGAAACAAGTTCACCTTTGCCAAGCGGACAATGAGACACTATTTACAATTGCCCGGCCTTGTGGTACTGACTTTATATTACAAAAAAAAATGAAACTTCAGGTGCTTGAAGATGGTATTCTTGATCCAGAGACTACTGTGGTATCTATATTCCCATCTCCTATGCATTATGCTGGCCCCACTGAGGTGCAGTGGCATGCAAAGGCTCGGATTAACGCAGGGGCCAACTTTTACATTGTGGGTCGGGACCCGGCTGGGATGAGCCACCCAGTTGAAAAAAGAGATTTATATGATGCTGACCATGGGAAGAAGGTACTGAGCATGGCCCCTGGACTAGAGCGGCTAAACATCCTCCCCTTCAAGGTATGCAAACCAACCTAGCTTTTGTTAGCTTCACGATGTCAATCTTCGTCATTTGATTCTGTAAAGACTCAATATTCATTATTTGAGTACAACTATAGGTGGCTGCATATGATAAGACCCAGAGTAAAATGGCATTCTTCGATCCCTCAAGGACTCAAGATTTTCTCTTCATCTCAGGCACCAAGGTATCTTTTCCTCACATAATACTGGAGTTTTATTTTTGTTTTTTCAAATGTATGACTGATGTTGAACCCAAATACCCAATTAAGGCTGTAAACTGAACCAAGCTACTTAAGCTTAGCTCACAATTAGCTTGATAGAATCTTTTCAAGATCCTATAGAGATAGCAAGTCAAGCTGACCAGAGTTTGAAACCTGTTAATTTGTTAAACTCGGCTAGAACTTGGCTCGACAAATTAAGCTAATAAGCAGCACTCTACGATTTTATAAAAGAACCAAGATAATTAAGCTTGGCTAGTGATCGGCTTAATTTGAGGATCATTCGAGATTAGCTCCAGAAATGAGACTGGTGCAAGATCTGCTCATGATTAAATAAGCCGAGCTTGATTGTATTTTGGAGCATTTTTTTTTTTTTTTGAGCTCATCAGCAAGGCTCATTTGCAGCCCTATAACCAAATGTTACTTGAAATAGGTTGGAAAGAGAAAAATTATTGAAATAAAATGCATTATGTTCTTTTGAATTACATTTCTCTGCGTGATTTAGCGTTTAGCATACGTATATCTGATTGCTGCATGTTTACAGATGCGAACACTTGCAAAGAACAAGGAGAACCCTCCAGATGGATTTATGTGCCCCGGTGGCTGGAATGTCCTGCTCGAATACTACGACAGTTTGGCTGCCGCTGAGACTGGCAAAGTCCCTGAAGCTATTCCAGCTTGAAAGGATTTGTATTGGCAAATGCTTGGGAGAAACATTAAATCTTATTTATCTCCAATGCGTGGTTGGTTGGCTTTGATGTTGTAAAGGTTTCATGTCCACCTCTCTAATAAATTATGCGAGGCGCTATAGAGATGCAGAACTTTGCCTCGCTCTGTAATTAGAGCCAAAACGCTGTCACGAATTGTATAATATTGTGGTTGTAAAATAGCTTGTCGAATGCAGTTTTAAATGAACATGACCCATATGCTTTAACATTTGGTTTGGATTGAGAAAATTGGAGAGAAGAAAGGAGGGAGAAGATAAAAAAGGGGGAGATAGGAGAGAGAAGGAAAAAAGGGGGGAGAGGAGAGGAGAGGAGAGGAGAGGAGAACTTATCCAGTGTTTGTTTCAAAAAGCAGGAGAAAAGGAGAGAGCCAACGTTGCCTAACCCTTTAAACAGGGTTATTGCTTGAATTTCTCCAAACAAAATGCATATGATGCCAAATGATAATTGTATATTTCAAGAGAAAAAACAAAAAACACCAGTGAGAAGGTGACAATTGTATCTGGACAATCCTGTCCTTTTACTTTTTAGTGATAAGTTTAGGGGCAAGACTAGGCTTCACTTTAATCCAAATAATATGCTAGTCCTTTCCTTGGTTCAGGAATTATGTGGTGCTATGCTGTTCCAACACAATACTGAAATCAGAGGCAGGAGTTGGTCAAGATAATACCGCGGGTTTGTCACGTTTGGTAGAATAGGTTCTTTACATCAGATAGCATCAAAATCACGTATTAAAAAAAAATAATAATAAAAAAATATCATGTTATAGAAAGAATGTGTTAATAGCTCTGTTATATAGAACAATCTCTACTACATGAGGTCTTGTGATTGACACCCCATTTACTTTTTAAAATGAATGGGAGTTTCGTTGCATTTTCTAAATTGAGCATGTAAGGATATTTTGTGACTAAAATAACTAATATGCCCTTAAGATAAAATAAAAATAAAAAAACATTTATTTCAGTCTTTTAAGAAATATTAAGGCTATTATGGAGTTTTTATTATTAAAAAAAAAAAAAAGATCAAAATTGACAAATATTAGAAGCGATTTGGACATATTTTCAAATGTTAGCCTACTAACAGGAAATACATTCATACACCCACTTGCCTCTATATGAACTTAAACTCTGAACATTTTATTTTATTTCAAAAGACTAAAAAATATCACTAAACCACAACCTTGTATATATACTAAAAAAACAAGCGTGATTTTTTGCACATGTTTTTGATTAATCTTTAATTTATTTTAATTTTACTGAATTAAAATCAAGTAAATCATACAAAATAATAAATAAACTAAAGTTAGGGATAATATATATATATATATATATATATATATCCAAAACAAAAATTTGAGACTACATTAACAATTCCAATAATATTACGGAGTATATTTTGCAATACAAATAGGTGCAATTCACAAATCGCATTGAATAGCGAAAAATTGTTACTAGCAAAAAAAAAAAAAAAAAAAACTGTGTCAGCATATTTCAACTTGGGAATCTCGGTTCTCTCACGCAAATACACAACGTTTCTTTGAATATGTCAACCCCTCTTCTCTCTTGTCTCTTTCAACAAGTGTGACTTTTTTTCCAATATACTTTAAATTTTTCCTCTTCTGATTACATAAGCAAAGCTCTTATTTATTTGTTTATTTATTTTGGAAACAAGAGCAGGTGTAGAATTAGTATATGAATCAAAATGGATTAGTTATGCTTTGCCACTTCTACTCATCTTCTACAAACTATTCTAGATTTCTTTCTTTTGTTTTTTTCTCTCCCTTTTGAGCCACCATTTGTTCTCATTTGATCAATTATGTCACCCTTTGGCGGCAACAACAACGGTACCAATATGGGTTCCCCTTTTCTCCATGAACTCAAGAAGCAAACATCTTTCTTCTTCAAGGAGAAGATCAAGACTGCCCGATTGGCTCTCACCGATGTCACTCCCGCTCAACTGTAACCCTTTCTTTTTAATATACAGATTTTCTTTCTCTTTTTTCCCGGAAAGTAGTTGTTAATATACATATATGTATATATGATTGTATCAGTTTTATATGTATGTGAATCTTAGGCTGTTCTTGATTTTGAATTTGAGTATGTATGTGTTTGAAGATTGGCTGAGGAAGCTACAAATGGAAATTCATGGTCCCCGGATGCACGGACTCTCAAGACGATATCCAAAGCTGCTTTTGAAGTAGATGATTATTGGAGAATTGTGGAGATTCTACACAAGAGGTTAATAATAGTTGGTTCATTTTCTTGATGTCTGTGTGTTTTTTATGTGTGTTTTTTGTGTTATTGAATTTGATTTTTTGTGCAATAGATTGGGTAGGTTTGACACGAAGAATTGGAGGTTTTCATACAAGGCTCTGATTGTGCTTGAATACTTGTTGACCCATGGACCAGAGAGTGTTGCAGAGGAGTTTCAGAGTGACAAAGATGTCATCTGCGAGATGGGAAGCTTTCACTATATTGATGAGAAAGGGTCTTTTTTTCATTTTTCTCATTTGGGTTTTTTCTATTCTTTTTTTTTTATAGTACTATGATTGTTATCATGAGCTTCTAAAATTTAATTTGCAGATTCAATTGGGGACTTAATGTTAGAAAGAAATCTGAGAGGATACTGAAGCTGCTTGAAAAAGGGTCTGTTCTCAAACAAGAAAGGGATAAAGCAAGGAAACTAAGTAGAGGGATTGAAGGGTTTGGGAGCTTCTCGGAGAGATCTTCTTCAGCACAGAGAATTCTTACTGAATCAGAGAGACTTGGATATGGAAGGTGTCATTCTGAATCTACTAGTCAAGGAACTCAGGATGATTGGTTTTCATTCTCGAAGGACAAAGGTCCATCCGAATCAGAGCATGAAATATCTCAGCAGACTCATTTGGAAAATGTGAATTTGGTGTCCATCAAGAAAATGGAGAACTCCAACTCTGTGGGTAGTTTTAGTGATGATGAGGTACTTGAAAAGTTTGGTGCTAGAATGAGTTTCAAACAAAATTTGGCTCCCGAAAAGGAAGTTATGACCGCGGCGGCCGGGGAGTCGCTACCACTTTTGGGTGGCGGTCAGAAAGATGATCCCGGCATTGGTATGCCCACAGAAGATCACCCCTTTAGTGAAACTGAGCATAAAACTACTGTTTCACTGCTTTCAAGTATGGACCAGATGTTGCAAGCATGTTGAAGATTAGGTCCGTGTAGAATTGAGTGAAGTAGACACCTTGCCTGCAGACTTGTTTTCTTACATGTATTGAGAGGTTGAGGTTCATTGAATGAAGTATACACCTTGCCTGTAAACTTGTTTTCTTACATGTATCTTTCAGTTGACTGATTGAGGTTTTGTTCTTCCTGTGCAATTAGATTTTCAACAGTTAAAATTGGACAATACAAAAAGTCCTTTTGAGCTGTAAGTACATAACACGTTGCTACACTCTTTGGTTAATACAAAGTACATCAGACACAAGTATCTTTCTATGTCCACAAAACTATATCAATATCTAGATAGTTTCAAGAACTTGATTGAAGCAACGCAAAGGGACAAACAGAACCAACTCACTGTTTTGAATAATAATTTGCCTCTGAATTCACTAGCAGCCCACAAACACCATTTGCTTTAATGTACCAGCAAGAAATGTATTATTTTTTAACTACTATTATATTATTTTGTTGTATTATTCTTTGTATATAACTTTCAAATGTGTCTCCTCAAATCAAGATTAATGGAATGCATGAAACAACATATTTTAGAGAGTGTAAGTTCTCCAACTACAGGGAAAAGAATCACCATTGTAGAGGAACAACAAGCATGAAATCATCAAATGTTTTGAGAGCTTATACAATCTCAATGAGATACAAAAACATAAAGCATGAATATATGCTGAACCAAAGAAAAAATTGTACAATTGGAACACCAAAGGAGCCAAAGAAAAGGATTGTCATATTGCAAGTCTGAATGCACAGCAAAAGTTGGAATTACTTGCAAATTGCTAATAGCTTTAAATTAGTAAGAATGGCCAAAATTCAAAAACTGCTAATTAAAGTGTCACGATAATAATTTAAAATTTCCTGCCGTCTCTCCACACTCTGGTAGGTCGCTCTTCCACTACAAAAGGCATGGAAGTTATATACCAAGGAAGAGTACGAACTCTCGAGCAGTAAAGTTCCCTGATGAAGACAGAATATTATTCTATTTCCACAACTTCCGTCCGAAGAATTAGAAGCATTTTCTGTGCACAATGGACGGCCCAGATTCGTCATACTCTGCCTTTGCAATCCACATCTGCATCAAAATATAATATTGCATCAGTGATTCAGCATTCCTAAGAAACTGCTATTCCAAATCCATTCTTGATTGCATATATAACAGTCACTCTGTCACAAGGGGAAATGAGATAAGAGGAACATGTTGCGTGAACACCATTGGATGTAGGACTAGACAATATCAGTTATTTGTACAAGTTACAGCATTAGATTATTTGCATAGAGTGAGTGAGTGTAGCCAACCTATTTGCAAGAAAATAATATCCCAAAAAACTGGACACTTATTCCCATTTTTGAGGGATAAATACGATATAAAAATGAGTGCTAGTTTTCTCATGGTGCACCAATATGATAATGTCAGTTCATGAATCATTTTCAGGATCTGCCATAGCTTATACCAAGTGCATTTGTCAATTAAATGCAGGTGTGCCATTCATACGCATAACAAGCATGATTTGATAATGATTGTAAGCCACAAGCAAGATATGTAACAAACCTGCTGAAAGGTGCTGAGGGATGCCAAGATGGAGCCTCCAATCCAAACACTGTACTTCCTCTCAGGTGGAGCCACCACCTTGATTTTCATGCTGCTTGGTGCCAAAGCAGTGATTTCCTTGCTCATCCGGTCACCAATGCCCGGGAACATGGTGGAACCACCACTGAGGACAATGTTACCATAAAGATCTTTCCTAATATCAACATCACACTTCATGATAGAGTTATATGTGGTTTCATGAATGCCTGCAGCTTCCATTCCTATCATGGATGGCTGGAAAAGGACTTCTGGACATCGGAAACGCTCGGCCCCGATAGTAATCACCTGCCCATCAGGCAACTCATAGCTTTTCTCAACAGAAGAACTAGTCTTGGAAGTTTCTAACTCCTGCTCATAGTCAAGGGCAATGTATGCTAGCTTCTCCTTCATGTCCCTCACAATTTCACGTTCAGCTGTGGTGGTAAAGGAGTATCCGCGCTCAGTTAGGATTTTCATGAAGGCGTCAGTGAGATCACGGCCAGCTAAATCAAGACGTAGAATAGCATGAGGGAGGGCATACCCCTCATAGATGGGGACAGTGTGGCTGACACCATCTCCAGAATCCAAAACAATTCCTGCAGCAAAAGCAACAGTCCATGAAAACATATGTAGCGCACATACATTAAGTCCAATTCTTTATTATTAAATACTAAGCTCGGATTATCTATGTAACTACATTCGATGAAAACCTTTACTAGAAGAACTGATAGAAAAAGAGTTGTAAGACAAATCAGCAAAGAGGTATTGTTTTGGTTTTGGCATGCAATTTCATGAGCAACAAAGCCCACAAAGGCTGTTCACATGGATAGGCATTTTCTTAAGATGCTTAAAAGAATTCCACAGAGGATCAATGACATTAAATGGAAAATTGAAGGTTTCCAATAGCCCATAAAATACTTTATTCCAGATTCTTGAATTACAGTCTTTTTTTCTTGAGCTGTACATGCATCTAGTAGGTAGCACCAGCGTCATCTAATGATGATTCAACATGGAATTTACAATCACAATTATGCTAATTGAGTCTCAATGTTGAAAAATATCATATTCAAACAAATAAAATTGGATGTTTTAGGTATTATTTGCCAATCATTATCGCTATACATCAAACCATATACACATTTTTCGACCCAACTAATACCATGAAATGATACTGACTATAAATGATTTTCAACCCAACTACATACCAGGAAATCATACTGACTTAATCAAAATGCATACCAGTCGTACGGCCGCTGGCATAAAGGGAAAGAACAGCCTGGATGGCAACATACATGGCAGGAGCGTTAAAGGTCTCAAACATGATTTGTGTCATTTTCTCACGGTTAGCTTTCGGGTTGAGAGGTGCTTCAGTGAGTAGAATTGGGTGTTCCTCTGGGGCCACACGGAGTTCATTATAGAAGGTGTGATGCCAGATCTTCTCCATGTCATCCCAATTGCTCACAATACCATGCTCAATGGGGTACTTTAGAGTTAGGATACCACGCTTGGACTGAGCTTCATCCCCAACATAAGCATCTTTCTGGCCCATGCCAACCATCACACCAGTGTGACGTGGGCGACCCACAATGCTAGGGAACACAGCCCTTGGAGCATCATCTCCAGCGAATCCGGCCTAAAAGTTAAAAATCCATCAGAACAACCAAGGCTAAATCAACAGATTTTTACATGTCATGACATTTTTTCAGGTGCACTTCACATATATAATAGCAGTGACCAATATAATAGTATTTTAATAATTTTTGCCATAAAATTTTCACATAAAAAGATATCCTAATTTAGTACCTTAACCATTCCTGTGCCATTATCACAGACGAGTGGCTGGATGTCATCAGCTTCTGCCATCTTCTATCAACAATCTAAAGAAAGTTACAGCTTCAAATCAGAAAACTAATACAAGAGCCAAAAGAAAAAAATAAAAAATAAAAGAAGGTACAATGATGAAAAATAAGCTTTCAAATCTCATTCACCATCAATTATGACCATCATATTTAAGTTAAGTCCACATGTTTGGTGATCTAGAAAGCTGTGTGTCTGATTGTCTTTATATGCATGTACGTGTGTGAATGATGCATATAAAAAGGCTAAAAAGAAAAATACTAACTCCAACTTTTGTAACACTGAGTACTGATCCTAACGGCGTAGAAAAATTGTCACGCGCGCGCACACACACACATATATATTAAAATAATGTATAAGATGTGTTCACGAGTTAAGCCTATACGAGCTGTGTTCACAAGCTTATACAAGGTGTGCACTTACTAGCCTTAGTGTTCATGAACCTATATAAGCTGAGCTGAACACTATTTGAACTTGGGTCACTTATCACACTAGCCTATAAATGAGCTTGAGCCTAGCTGGTTTGCTTGATTAAAAATCAAGAACAAAAGATCCATATGAGCTAAATAAAAACCTCCGTCCATTAGCAACTTTCATTTAAGGGAATGATTGTCATTTCCTTTATTGAAAAATGCAAGTGCAATGTGAGAGTACTTTTGTTGATTAGTCTTACAGTCTTACTGTATATCTTTTGTATGTAAATATGTATACATGTGTATAAATCATATGATATATACCTTTTAAACTTATGACAAGGACATCATTCTACATGGTAAATGTTTTATATTTTTTCACTCTTGAATGGTAAAAACCCATTTCATTTCATTTTCTTCCGTTCAATCAAATAACAAGAGAAAATTCCTGTCATTTTCCTTAGTTAGACATCTTCCATCCTCCTATCTTTCCTTCCATTAATTTTCCACCCTTCACACCAAACACAACACTAAAATTTCTCTTAGAAGTTAGATCCACATCACTCCCCTTGAATAATAGGGTATTAGTATTTAATGCATAATATTATAGTAATGATACTTTAATTACAAAGACACAAATATTAAAAAATTCAATAGAGACAATCAGAGAAGCAGTCAAACAAGAATTTAGATCATCCACCAACTCATAAAGAACAAAAACCTCATCATATCGAAAGTTCAAAACCTATACATACAATATGCATATATATATATATATCAAATTATAAATGAATGTATGGATCATTATAACACCAACAACAATGAAATCTCAAGAAATCCATCTTAAATTTACAAAAAGAAGGGCAATTTCAAACCGAACGAGCATCTACATAAGGCTATTAACATTTCACACAGAAAAAGACAAATCAATGGTGGTGATGACAGAGAAATAAAGAATCATATATGAATAATGATTGAAGAATTACACATTAAACAGAGCGAGTGATGGAGAGAATTTTCGTCGTCCTCTGATCGTCAGCTGCTTGCCGTTTGGTGGAGTTTCAATTCAAAAAAGACGGGGTAAGGAAAGCAACGCCCAAATGAAAATCAAATGCACTTTAAATTCAAATTAAATGAAAATCCGTGACCCGAATTTCTTGTCTACATTTCTGCCCGTCCACTCATTTCAGTCTTTGAAAGAAACGCCTCGCGACACGTGCTATTCTTGGTTCTAGTAGATACATTTGTCAATTTTTTATTATTATTTTAAAAGTACTAATTTAATCCCCTGCTTTTCACAAAGATCCTTCAAAATCCTTGATAAACGAAAAAGTAGAACTTTCTTTTATTTTTAGCAGATTTTTTTTTTAGAAAAAAAATAATAATAAAAAAAATGGTTATTGAAAATTACTTTTCCAATTTTTTGTTTATTATTATATTTATTTTTAAGAAACCAACGCACTATGGACCAATTTGAAAAAGGGCCTGGCCCAATTATGAGAAGCACCAAATTTTGGTGGACATTGGTATGCCGTATGGGTCAGAAATAGAACAGTCCAACAAAAAATATGGGCCTTATATGGGCCATGAGGGAATCACAGTCCAAAACAATTTACTACCACGGCTTCAACTTGGGTTCTTGAAATACGGTAAATAACTATGAATCATAATTTTAAAAGTATTTCTATGTGAAAACCCTTGTTACATTCTAACCTATCTAAACTCGTAACGTTCTCGTTGCGGCTCGGGCCACTCTGTCTACCCGAGGTGTTCACCTTGACGTCTTTCGGACCGGGCGCTTGACGTAACACCGGATCAAAGATTAGATCTGGCTCTGATACCAACTATAACAGGTGGGCACTTGCTCATTTATTCAAAAACTCGAACTATTGAGTAGTGCTGCATACCTACTCATTTATACCTAATTATTTTTTCATCCAATTTTAATGTATGATAAATGACTCTTGTTATACTATAATACCATTATGGGTGAGAATATATACGCGCTCACGCGTGCGTATATTTTTTTGCTTTGTATAACATTTCCCAAAGACTATTCTCCAAAAGCATATTAATTAACGATGTTAAACGGTGTGTATTGAAAGTGGGTTTGAATGTAAATGTCTAAATCCAAATCATTGTCTTGGCCAACTCACCAACTTATCTTGTTAAAGATCATAATTAACCGTGTTACTGTTATTGTCTTGAGCGAACGGTACAACATTTGATCTTATAATTATCTGATTATCACAAGCCCACAAGCTTAATATTGCGGTAAATATCTATCTATACAGTGCATGTGATATGTTATTGTAGAAGAGTAATGGAGAAAGTGAAAAAAAAAAAAAAAAAATCGGAAAAAGATGAAATGAGTGTGCGTTGAAATTGAGGGTTGAAATGATTGTTAGAGATGGGACACATTATAACGGGAGATGGGAAGCAAAATGATTAAGCTTACTGCCTTTGGGGGAAAAGAAATGATTAAGCATAGCATGAGATGCAATTATGTACCATGAGAGTGTGTGTTTCCACTATTATATACAAATTAATCATACCTTACAATATTTGTTAAAACCATTAAACATTTCATAATCATAAACCATAAATAATTAAGCATGTAATCACTACTCAATTTGATAGTTACAAAAAATTAAATTTTTTAAAGCATATAATTAGATGTACTCAATCTGATACTTCCGGTACAAAAGCAAATTGTTCTCTCTTGTTAAGGTGTTTAGTGTGGGTATATTACTGTTTTGTTTAGACCACCCAATTAGTATTTTGAATTTAAAATTTAAAAAAAAAAATTTAATTTAAATTTTGAACTAAATTAATTTCAATTTCAAATCTAAGATATCGATTCCATACTTTCAAACATAACAAGTGTAAAAAATAAAAAAATAATAATAATAATAATAATAATAAAAAAAAAAAACAACAACAACAACACTCAAATTTAGCAACATTCATAAAATCTTACCTTTTTTTTTTTTTCATAATTAAACGTGTTATGTTTGGGAGTTTCATAGCATGTGTAATTACGAAAGAAAAAAAAAACTCAAATTTAGTAATATTTACAAAAATAACTAACTGACCAGTGACATAATGGTATCAGATCATTACTTTCCAAAGGGAGGTCAGGAGTTCAAATTAGTATATATATATATATATATATATATATATATATATATATATATATATATATATATATATTACAAAATAATAATAATAAAAACCACATTAACTTAATAATACATAATGGAGGGACATCCTAGGTATGGAACGCATTTGAATTTTTTTTTTTTTTAACCCTGGCAAACAAACACAGCAACATGCTCAAAACAAACAGTCCTTCGCTGCCAAATTCAGAATATCCCGAGGAATATGGATAAGAGTAACATCATTATGAATATCCCAGCGAGAAAGTTAGGCAAGCGCATGGGCAACCCCATTGCCATGTCTACAGACCAGAAAATGATAACCGCCCAAACAGCACATGCACATCAAAGGAAATATCATGAATCTCAACCGGCCCACAATGAACATCATTCACCGCCTGCACCATTGATAATGAATCACATTCAAACCATACCTGCGCATAAGAATTACTTAAAGCCCACAAAACGGCTTTACGGAGAGAAATAGCCTTTGCTTGAGATGCACTTCGAGACGGAAAAGGCAAAAAAACCACTGTCTGCACTAGCATACCCATAGAGTCCCAGAAAACCGCTCCCCCACCCCCAACATGTGTGGAAGAACAAAATGACGTATCGACATTACATTTAACAATACCCGCTGGAGGGGCAACCACTGTGAAGGGGATGAAAGAGGAGCTAAAACAGAGGAAGTACCCACCCGATTAAGATCCAAGCTGTGGATAGAGGAAGAAGATTCCTTAAAATCCCAGAACTGAGAAGAAGCCCAACAGACAACCCGAAGAGGGTTATAAAGCTCCCCCTTGATGACAAATCTATTTCGCGCCTTCTAAATACCCCAGCAACAAAACGTCACCATACTCAACACATCTTGTCCCTCAAACCGAGACATCCATTGGGTAGCCAAAGACATCCACTAATCCTTAAATGATTCAGGAGGATCAATCATAAAATCAAATCGCAATGGCGATAATTTCCAAATCTAAATAGAATGAGGGCACTGAAACAACAAATGTTCAATGGACTACTCCTCAAGCCACACCGAAGACACACTGGCTCAACCGCCATGCCATGCACCTTGAGAAGCTGATGAACTGGGAGAGCACACTTACAACATTTCCACATAAAATGTTGAACTTTGGGAGACACTTTACATTTCCATAGACTACGCCAACTACCGATGTTTGGAGGAGCAACATTTAAAGAGTCCTGGGAATGAGTATCGGCATTCCGTGCCAAGAAGGTAGCCAAACGATAAGCTGACTTAACAGAAAACCCACCATTGGCCTCACCATCCCAACCTAACGTGTCTTCCCTAGAATAAAAACTGAAACTACAACCAATGATAGCAGTAACAATAGAAGGCGGGAATAAAGATTGAAGTAATTCCACATTCCAACCAGAACGCTGAGAATTAAATAGCTCATCCACCATAATTAGAGTCACCATAAAAGGCGGCCGTACAAGTGTATCAGGTAAACTTGGGACCATCGATCATTCCAAATGTTAATAGAACGACCGTTCCCCACAACCCATCGAGAACCAACACGAATAAGGGGTTGCGTAGACCAAATACTTCTCCAAACCCAAGAGGGGTTAGAACCCAATTGTGCTTCCAAAAAGGAACAATTCCTAAAATATTTAGCTTTAAAAAGTTGAAAAGCTAACCCCTGTTGGTGAACTTGAAAGTTTCAACCCTGTTTAGCTAACAAAGATTCATTATATGCTTCGAAATTGCGAAAACCTAACCCCCTTTCCTCCTTAGCAACACATAAAAGATCTATTTTTAACCCAATTAAGGTTAGGAGAATCCCCCTCTTTACCCCCACCAAAAGCGACGAATAAGCTTCATAATTGAATTACAAAGATTACGGGGCAGCTTAAAACAAGACATCACATGTGTAGGTAAGGCATTCAACGCTGCTTTAATTAAAATTTCCTTACCCGCTGGAGACAAGAATATGGATTTCCATTGTGCTAACCGAGCAGCAACCCGTTCTGAAATGTAATGGAAAACATCCTTAGAACGGTTGATAATGGCAGGCATCCCCAGATATTTAGCACGCAGCCCCTCCTCCTAAATACCCAGCAACTGACATAATAGAACATAATCCGTTGCACAGGTATTTCGAGAGAAAAAAATACAGGATTTAGAGAAATTAATCTGTTGTCCAGATGCCCTTTCATACTTATGTAGGATATTCTGAAGAAACACAAGCTTAGATGTAGAAGCTTGGTAGAAAACAATCGTGTTATCTGCAAAAAACAAGTGTGAAATAGGTAGCGCATGTGGACAAATACGAACCCCAGATAACACACGATGCTGAAGAGCTACCCGCAAAGAAATGGAGTGAGCCTCTGCAAACAAAATAAATAAATACGGAGACAACGAATCCCCTTATCTCAATCCTTTCGTGGGCCGAAACAGACCCACATGTGTACCATTAATCATCACCGAATAAGAAATCGTGGAAATGCAAGCATAAATAAGTTTAATCCAATGAGGATGGAAACCAAGTTTAGAAAGCATAGCCAACAAAAAAGGCCATTCGATCCTATCATAGGCCTTACTCATATCCAATTTTAATGCCAGGAACACCATCTACCCTTTACGTTTTGTTTTAAGGTAATGAAACAAAAATACTATCAGTAATGTTATCTGTAATGTGGCGTCCTGGAACAAAAATACTTTGACACTCACTAACAATAAATGGAATGATTTGTCAAAGCCTATTAGCCAAACACCTTAGCCACTATCCTATAAGGAACATTGAATAATTGAATTTTGCATGCTGCGCACTCTACAACGAATAATCAATGCTTATACGGAGTGGAACACCTACGTGAAAAGGCATGTGAAGAATATATGTGGATCTGATTGGATCTTGGCAAGGGGGTATATATTATATATATACACACACAATACACAAACATATATAGAGTGAGGGTGTTATAGGTCAATAAGTCATTTATAATTTTAAAATTAAGTCGTTTTCTTTACAATTAATGTGCAAATTCAAATGAAATATCTTGCTCTTTATGAACTGATTGTTTGGATATTCGGATGCATGAATTTGTTGGTGAGAGAGGTGTTTTGAGTCGTCAAAATTGAGGCAAAGCGTGCTTCAGATAATTGCTAGGGTGGGTTTGTTGGCAGACAGGTGTTTTTTGATACTTCAGTAGCTATGGATCGATGTGAATCATGATGTTGAGGGATGGATGAGCAAGTTGAATGTGAGTTATTGTTGTCACCATAAAAAAAAATTAAAAAGAAAATTGTTAATTTATGCAGTAAAATGATGTTGTGGCAACAAAATTTTATTATTTTTATTATTATTTTTTATTTATAGATGCAGGGCAACAATCAATTGGCTTGAAATGAAAAGGATTCACATTCTTCCATCCCTTGGCAGAAGTTACTTTGGCCAAGCCATGGCCGTTAAAGTGTCATTTTCCAACTCATAAATGAACTCTATATATATATATATATATTGAAAATTACATAAATAGTCCTTATAGTTAATTATCTTTAAAAACCCGATGGAAAAAATAATGTAGTTTGACGTACAGTGAGATGGCATTTATATATATAATTCATGGAAAAGGTGAAGGTGAGGTGTGACCTCTCCCAATTGCGACAAACAAAACCAAGAATCCGAGAAAGGGAGGGGAAGAGAGGAAGTTAAAGAGTGTTGTAAAGCACGTGCATTAGATGCATCAAAATTGCGAATACGAGACCTTTGTAAGTTAGTCAGTGTCCGATTGTTGGAATAATATTATAGAAAAAGTCCCCTTCACTTTCACTTATAAGCACAGACATACAGAATTTGAGAGAGAAGTAGTTTATTTTGCATTGGATCCTTCGCCAAATATGCATATCAAAACATGCACTTCTCTCTCTCTCTCTCTCATCCAAAACGTAGTTGGAAAAGCTAACCTCCAAAGTGTCTGAAAAGATGGTGAGTTTCATGATCATTAAATCCTTGACACACACCATTCCTAGCTAGATCATCCACATCTCTCTCTCTCTCTCACACACACACACACACATCTAGATATATATCAGACGTCTCTAGCTTTTTAGGTACGTTTATTGTTCTCATTGTCCCCCTTTATTAATGGCTATGCCTAACTCTGGGAAGGATCTAAATCCCATGGAAATCAATTCTCTATCAAGACCCGCGTTGGAAATTCAAAATGGTGATGATCAACTTCAAGAACAAGAACATGAAGAAGAAGAATCAAGAAAAGAATTACTACTACAAAAGGATATTCACGAGAAAGGTAACGATGATCAGTTAGAAATTTCTTGCTTGGAGTTCATCAAAAGGCCATCTCTAGGTGAATTCGAAGACGACGAGGAGGAGGAGGAGGAGAATGATGGGTTTCGAACTCCAACATGTTTGGATCAAAGCGCCCCATTGATCCCCGAGTGCCCACCAGCACCAAGAAAGCCCAAGTCACTTCCACTCACCAAGAAAAGAAAAGCGGCGAGCCGCCCAATTCTACTGGATCTGTCCGATGAGGTTGAATCATTGTTTCCTCCACCTCTACTCGCGGATCTTGGAAGTAAGATCAAGAAAGTGAAAATAATGAATAATGTAACCTAATAATATTGATGTACGTACGTTTTGTATTTTTTATGGTTTGTGAATCAAATTATGGTTAGATTTGTTGGAAAATTATTTATAATATATAGGTCTTTCCAATTAATTAATGCTACTATTTGTTTCTCAAGTTCTAGCTAGCTAGCTAATGTTGGGTGGTGTTTTGGCTCTAGGCCAAGACGAAAACTAACAGAACCACATGTGTGCAGTACTACTTGAAGATTAGCTGCATCCTTACTGTCATGTGAGCTAGATTGTATAGTTAGTCGGGCTTCTCTCTCTATATATCTATATATATATATATATATATATATATTGACTTGCTATGCTGGATTCATAAATAGGTTGCATTGAAATTCCCGAGAGATTCAAACAGACATTCTTCATGGTTTTTAGTTTTTACTGTACTTTCTACCAAATTTGTGACCAAAACCATGAGGGGATATTCCCCTACTCCATAAATCACTGTCCCTGACTTCAAGGAACTTTCTTTGCCTCTTCAGGTACATTTTTTTTTTATTGGTTGGGTCGACCTTGTTTTTTGCTGCCATCACTCCTGACTTTTCGCACCTAACTAAACTTTTATCACATGATCAAACACCCAAAAAAAACACCCAATATTAGTATTTTTTATTTTCTATTTTAGTAAATGATATATTTTTCCAATACAGAGATGTTAAATGGGTGATGTGTGAGCGAGGGTGTAAGTCTATTACCTTGATATTATGTGGGTTCTCACGCCTCTACTCACTAACTATTTATTTGACAATTCGAAAGATGTATTATTATTATTATTTTATTACAAATATGCATATATTTACACATAATATAATGTGGCTTAATGGGTGCCGGCCGACTCAGTGGATTGTTCACATTGAATTTTTGGTTGTCCACTTGAGTTTATATTTGTTGGATGTTTAGGTTGATTTGAATAAATAAATAAAAGCAAATAAATTAAGAACTGTTTATCTCATACAATCCTAATTTTTAAGATTGAAGCACGGGAAATCCTCTGTTCCTGTGTAACTGTGAGTAAATTAATAGTATGAATTTCCTCTCCATTAATCATATGGCCCATTGTCACGGGTTACAGGCTACAATTGAGAGAATACGGCCCAACCCAATAAAACAGCAGTGTGAAAAAGCCATATCATCATCTTGTCGGAAACAAAAATGGTAGTTGGATTTCAAAAAGACTAGTGCTACAAAAATTGATCATTTAATGTCTTCAACGATATGATATACCTTCAAATTTTGCGAAAATCATTTACAAGTTCATTAATTACTTAAATTAATTTATTTTTATGTTTTTTATTTGATAGTGTCATACCTCTTATACTCTTTTGTGTAAAATATACGCTATTAGGTATTGTAAATTTTTTTATCTCCTACTTAAGATACACTGCCAAGTCATCAATATGTAAAATTATTGTGTATTTTATTCAATTTTTTTACACAACCACATTAGCATATTTCTTTTTTTCTCACTCTTTCTCATTCCATTAAAAAATCAACCATTTATTATGAGTATCTCCAACCGTTGTGTATAATTTTTTTTTTGTAAATATGATGTGTTATAATAGATTTACACAAAAAGTTTGGATTATTTATTTTTAAGTCCAATGGTTGCTTTATACATTTTGTGTAAAAATATATCCTCCAATAACAATTAACCAGTGTCATGCCTAGATCCCACATAATTTTTACAAACTTACTTAATATAGGGTTAATTTGTTAATGAAATAAGAAAGAGGGAGGATAAAGAAAATATGCTGATGTGGCTGTGTAAAAAGGTTGTTAAAATACATAATAATTTTACACATGGATAATATGACAATATATCTTAACAGACTGTTAGAGATAAAATATACATATATATATATATATATCTTTACACATCATACATGGCTTTTTACACAAAAGATGTCTTAAGTAGATTTGTAAAATTTATGTGGGTTTCAGACATGACAATGGTTGGTTGTTACTGATGAATATATTTTTACACAAAAAGTATAAAACAACCGTTAAAAATAATCTAAAATTTTTTTATAAATTTATTATGACACGTTAGGTTTACACAAATATATATATATATACAATGGTTGGAGATGCCTAAATAATTTCCCCTCTTCCGTCCACTAATAAATTATTAAAAATTTTGGCTCTAAGAAGATTTGAACTCCAAACCTTTAAGATCGGATGTAAGAATTTTTGCCAAGTAAATAATTTGTAATTGTTATAGCCTCATAGTCAAATGACTCGAAACGGTATATTTCTGCCCGTGGTCTCATGACTAGGTTCAGTACCGACCAAGCATGCTAGCAGTGGCCTTTCTGTGTGAACGCAGAGTCTTTGGGGCTATACGTCGAACGCTTGCCATCTCTTGGACTGTAAACCAAACTCATTCTTGTTTCACCTTCTCTACCCAAGCACTTGATAATTCGTCTGGGAAGGAGAGTTCAGTTTCGAATCGACGAGAAGAAGAAGAACCCAATAGTTTGTGTAGGACTATCAATCAAACCCATTCTAGTTTCACCTTCTCTACCCAAACACCTGGTAATTCGTCTGACAAGGAGTGTTCAGTTTCGAATCGACGAGAAGAAGAAGAACCCAAGAGTTTGTTTAGGACTATCAACCAAACCCATTTTGATTTCACCTTCTCTACACAAACACCTGATAATTCGTCCGAGGAGGAGGAGAGTTCAGTTCCGAATCGACGAGAAGAAGAAGAAGAACCCAAGACTTTGTGTAGGAGGATTGAAAGGCTCGGCAAAGGAGAGCCTGTTGGGTCTGCCTTCCAGAGCTGGATGGGCGAGGGCTTACCCATTCATAGAGGCGACATCTTTCACACCATCAACCGTTTGCGGAAGCTCCAATTCAACAAACGTGCCCTTGAGGTCACTATTTCTCTTCCTATATATATATACACGTCTATAATAGATAGATTATACGCACATATATATGATGGGTAGTGTTTATTTTCTCGTTGATAATGGTAAATGCGGATGCAAAGCATGTAAGCGCAGTACCTATTTGTCTAAATGCTTGAAAGAATTATGCCAGTTGAATAAATGGGGTAAAATTCAGGGCTATTCAACTTATTCAGTTAATTGATTTTGGGTACCTCTATTTAGTTTTACACGCAGTACCTGTTTGTCTAAATGCTTGAAAGAATTATGCCAGTTGCATAATGGGGAAAATGCAGGACTATTCAACCTATTCAGTTAATCGTTTTTGGGTACCTCTATTTTGTTCAGTTGAATTGAATTATTATATTGTAATATAATGTCTGGACAAAAAGCATGGTCAGAATCGATTTTGTGATCTTGTCTAATAGTTTATAAAGGAAGAAAAACCAAAATATCTTCTTTATGGGTATTATTGCTTCTTCTTTTTTTGGTTAATTTAGCAGACAATTTAAATTGTCAAATACTTTTTGTAGTCAATATATCCACCTTTAATTCAAAGAATCATGGTCAACGTATTCACCTTTGATAATAGACGTGAGGACGATCAACCTTGTAGTTTCAAAAGTTCAAAGAGCAATTCCCCTGCACCTATGCCACCAATGTTGGGGGTGTTTGGAGGGGTAGACTGCATCCGACCATATTGTAATTTAAGACGTTCCATTATAACTTCGTATGAGATTTTGTATAGGGTAGGATTTTAGTACCAATTGCTTGTTTAGCGCCATATTTATTTTGACAGAAAAATCATCTGCTTTTCAATTGGAAATCTAATAACCCCTTTTAAGTTGAATCACTCGGATGAGAAACATGAGCATGGGCATTTACAAAATTAACTTGAATTATCCTTTACTCTTGATAGGTGATGGAATGGGTGATCAGAGAGAGGCCTTACAGACCAAAGGAACTAGACTACTCCTATCTTTTGGAATTCACAACTAAGCTTCATGGGGTATCACAAGGTGAAAAACTGTTCTGTCATGTCCCACAGGAGTTTCAAAACGAGTTACTCTACAACAATCTCGTAATTGCATGCCTGGATAAAGGCATGATAAAGCTTGCACTTGCATACATGAAGAAAATGAGGGAATTTAGTCACCCCATTTCACACCTAATTTTCAACCGCCTTATTATCCTCCATTCCTCCCCAAGCCGTAAGAAAGCCGTCCAAAAAATTCTCAGACAAATGAAGGCCGATAAGGTAGATCCACATGTCTCCACCTACAACATTCTCATGAAAATAGAAGCTAATGAACACAATATTGAAGGGTTGGTAAAGGTGTTTGGTGAAATGAAGCGAGCAAAAGTAGAGCCAAATGAGATCTCCTTCTGCATATTAGCTACTGCACATGCTGTGGCAAGGTTATACACCGTTTGTGAGGCTTATGTTGAAGCTGTGGAGAAGTCCATAACAGGAAATAACTGGTCAACACTAGATGTCCTTGTTATATTGTATGGGTATTTGGGGAAGGGAAAGGAGCTTGAGCGAACTTGGGGCCTTGTGCAAGAACTCCCCCATGTTAGGCCTAAGAGTTTTGTGCTGGCTGTTGAAGCATTTGGGAGGATTGGAGAGGTAAGTCGTGCTGAAGACCTTTGGTTTGAAATGAAATCAACAAAAGGCTTGAAATCGACCGAGCAATTTAATTCAATGATATCTGTTTATTGTAAACATGGGTTTATTACTAAAGCAACTGGGTTGTATAAAGAAATGGAGAAATATGGATGCAAACCAAATGCCATAACTTTTCGACAACTTGCTCTGGGTTGCTTGAAAGCAGGATTAAGCAAAGAAGCCCTGAAAACACTGGAGTTGGGGATGGATCTGACAACAAGCACCAGAGTAAAGAAATCGACCCCATGGCTGGAGACCACTCTTTCAATAGTTGAATTGTTTGCAGAGAAGGGTGATGTAGAGAATGTTGAGAACTTGTTTGGAGAATTGAAAAAAGCAAATTATGCTAGGTATACTTTTGTGTACAATACATTGATCAAGGCTTACGTAAAGGCCAAGATTTATGATCCAAACCTTCTGAGAAGGATGATTCTGGGAGGGGCTCGACCAGACTCGGAGACCTATAGCCTTGTGAAACTACTTGAGCAGTTCCGAACCTGATTCTATTTTATTGTGATTAAATAAGTTACGTTTTATACCAATCACTGATTTCTAGAAATGGGATACAAGTTTGGTATGTGGATCTTATCAGTGGAACAAAGTAAAAACAAGAGAACTGGAATAAATTTGGGAGTATCATCCTGCAATGGGGATGCCACATACCGGTTTCGATTATTAATGTTCTTTTCCCTGCTTGGGGCTGGTGAAGAAATTTTGTAATAACGGTATGTATCACTTCAGGTTGTTTTTCCCTTGTCGTCAAAGACTCCTCCTTTTGAAGATTCTAACAGAATAGTACCAGAGAAATATTGTCTAAGCCAGTCTACACCTCCAACATTGCTAATTTGATACGCTACAACCGGCATAACCTGGGGTTGAAGCAGACACTCTCTTCTTGGTTGCCGCTCCTAGTTGGGCCAATTTTTACCCTGATAAATGTTTTTGAAGCTGACCGGTAGTTGTGAGTTTCTTTGTAATTCAAAGCATTATTGACATTTATATACATGCCTAGTGCAATACAATTGTAATCACTTGCTTTTTTTTTAGGACTTGTTGCTGGCCATGGATGAAAATGGAATGAGTATAAACGTTCATCTATGTACTGAAATTCTGTCTTCCTTTTTATGACAAGTTGATATATTCATGTTTTATGGGTTTTGATTTTTCACTTGCGGTGAATGTGTTGATTTAATGGAATTGAAAATGTCATTTACCCAAATCATGGTCAAATTCAGAAATAGACAAAATTTTGGATGGAGAAAAAGTTTATCCATGAATTCAGGATACTTCCCTTAATATCGAGAGAAGAAAAAAGAACTGAATTCAGAAATCAATAGAAATATCAGCTCTTGATTTTGTTTTTATTGATAATTCAGGTTAAAGTAGGCCCTATTCAGATATTCAAATTATGTTTAGCCTTTAGTTCAGGTAATCAAAATTGGCTTCTAGATTTCTAATTCTTAAAATTATCTTAGAACAACATTTATGCGAAATGAAAATCCGTTGTTTGAATGAATCATCTGAGATTCAATTACTGATTAACTTTGATTTATTGTCTAAAATTGAGTCTAAAAATAATTCCAAGTAGGTGGTGAGGTGACGGTGGTGATAGCAGGACAAACTTCAATTAATGATGATGATTCCAAATTGAGATTGTGAATAAAAAAAAGACAGAAATCTACTTCACACCAAAAAATTAGAAATGGAAAGCTGGCTAATACATGGTTTAAAGTCATTTTACATGATCGTTACGACTCACAGGGCTGTTGTTATTTCCTACTACAACCAAACAAATTAGAAGAAAATGACAAAAGAAACACATTAGATATTTCACCATGATTCGCAAAGATGTTGAGAGAATATAAAGATCTCCTTGTTCAGGTGATATAGTTTAGGAACTCTGCAGCAGTCGCAACCGCACCTCCGGTGATTGCATCCTTTACAATTTGGTCTCTGTTCTTGCTGCTGGCTGCAGAAACCAGAGCCCCCGTCAATGCACCCCCAAGCATTGCATTCTTCTGCAACATGAAAAAGGAGAGTCAAAAGGCAGAAACATCACCAGCAGCTTATATGATTTGAATTCTTTACTCGGAATGGTGTATAACTGATGCTTTTGCAAGAGGGACTCGAAACAAAGGGAGAAAAAAGAACAAAACAAGCCATGATTTAATCAATCCTTCTGATGATCAGGGGGAAAATTTGCAATAAAAATGAGCACAGGTACAACCTCAAGCTCTCGTTAGAAAAAAGTTGAACCACCGCATTTTGCCTGAAGCTATATAATTTTGCTCTAAAAAAGAATGGGTTATGTGCTACTTATTTAAAGTGCGTGCATAATTTATAATCAATTGGGTATCTAATTCAGAAGGAAACCAGATTCCAAATATCGCAGGGGATCCAAAATCCTCTATGTTCATTTTCCGCTTTCTTTTTTGGTCCATAGGAGGCAACCCTTGCACCAATCTACCCCAAGTCTTGGTGAAATGAGCAATTGATCCCAAGTGCCTGCTACAAATACCTAGAGACTTCATTAGCAAGCTAGCTAGCACCTTGCAACACCTCCATCTTGGATAAAAGAGTTGTCACCATACAATCTAAATTGCAGCTAAAATTACAATGCATTAAAGTTTTGGAACTACTACCAAACTAGAAATTCAACATTTGAATGTCAGTAGTAGCTTTGGATCCTACAGCTAAATTGGTTATGTTTCGAATGAAGGAGAATAAAATAGAAAAAGTAGAATGCCATGTGCTTCAGAAATTACCCAATCCCTGGTGCCACGGACCCTCTCCATTCCATACTCCATTCCGACATATACCCCAGCAACTGTTCCTGCTCATGCAATAAAAGAAATCTTTCAAGTGATCCCCCATTTTTCAAAAAAGGAAACCAATCAATAATTTCAAATAACTGTTTTGTCTCCTGCCTAACAGATCACATATTTTATCAGAGTCAATATAAATGACACTCACCCCAATAGGCCCCTTCTTTACACATTTTCTTTAGCTGCAGAGAAGTAACTTCTGTTAGCATGACAACAAGCATGTTGAACTACTTTCTGTTTCTATATTTACTGTACAAGTAAAAAAATTTGGGTGGGCATAACAAGGGACCGAGACCGTTCCTGTATAACCCCCTAAAATTCAGTACCCTGGTTTCAGAATCCAAAACTTTGTAACTTAATAATTTAAAGTTCGTGTATTATTGAAAACTGTGAGTGCTGCAAGAAATTGATTGAATTAGAAGAGACTTAACACTTCAAAAGAACATTTATGGGGATGTTTGATGTCATGGGTAACAAAAACGATCAAGTACATCAAATGGCTCATCATGGGTGGGCAGCCCCAAAGAATTCACACTTGTGCAGCTTCATTTTGACAGCTTAATCACAATGAAGCAAGTAAAGCAACAAGAAGCTATAGTATAAGATTTGAAAAAAATTAAACACCTATTCAACTAAGGGCATTTGAAAACAACTTAGATACCATTTAAAACAATAAGTTTCACTTAAAATTTTAAGTGAAGAAAACTTCACTTGACACTGAAAATTGAACCCTTATCAACTTATAATTAGCTCTTCAAATTTTCAGCAAACAGCACCTAAGTGTTGTATGTGCACTCGCTTAATTACGTAGTCCTCATGTCAGAAATGGGTTTTGTCTCCCATCATTTAATTGGCGGAATACATCCAACAGAACTAAATTAGTGCATAATACCAACCATCTCAAAAAAACTACATACAGATACTGAAATAAGCTCAATAATTCAAGTGTGTCATCAACAAACCAAATAACTAAAATAAGCTCAGAGATCTCACCGAATTCTCAAAACTGTGACTTGAAATACTCCCTGGAAAAAGAAAAAAAAAAATTTGCTACATCAACACAATAATTGAGAGAGATTTGAAAATTAGTCCCACTCAAGAACCCATTGTAAAATTACTTAAATTTTGAAAAATGAGGATAGTAATGTGTTTGTCATTATTTACAAGTGGTCAAAATTTAATAAGAATAACATGCACAATTTAATTTAGAGAAACCCTATTTAGGCCGATTTCTCAAATCTATTTGTCTAGCCAAAAGGCTTTCCATCCGTTTGATGTGGTGAATAAGTTCCGAGTGTAGGTCCCATCTGCTACATGAAAGTGATAGAAACCCTTATGCTAGAATCGTTTAAAAAATCATTTTCAAAATATACATGATCCAAATAAACATAGATAGATCTTATGCCTATTATATACCTGCATACATTATATATACACACACACACACACACACACACACACACACAAGCAAACAATGAAACTGTAATCTGAACCTTTTTTGACGACGTGATAGGTTTCCTCTACAGCTGTTTTGGCCACGGCAACCTGAAAGAAATAGAGATACAAACAAACAAACGATGAATAGAGATGATTAGGAAAATGATTGGATGATAGTAAGATCTATATAATTATAGTGAGGATGATGGTGATTACACTTCCGATCTTCAAAAAGCCATCGACGGTGAGATTGAGAAATGGATTGCCCATATCCACCATCACGTCTACCTTCGGAGTAGAGACTGTTCCAGAAAATCTGCTACTCGGCATCTTATTCCTCCCGATTCCTCTTCGTCACTTTCCCTTTTCCTCTCTCTCACTCCACTTCCGATTCTTCTGAATCTGGTTACTGCTGTATTTATTTAATTATTTAATAAGCTTGTAACTGTGTGATTAACGGAAATGCCATCCACCTGTAAGCAACTCTGTCCGTCTATACCATATTCGGGTTTCGGATAAGATGGCTGATTTAATTTTTTAATTTTTTTGAAACAAACAAAACAGTTACAGTGTTTGATTGTGATTACACGATCACGTGGTACCGTCAATTATTCAACTAAAGTATATCGGGTGGCAAAGGATTGTATATTTTAGTACTCCGTATGATTTTGTTTTTAAATAATATTTGTCACTATCCTGTGAGGTAACAAAATATTTTAAACTCAAGTTTGGAATCCGTTTTGTTTTTGTTTTTGTTTTTTATATTATTGTGATAGTAAATAGTAAAAAAAAGTTATTTGTCAAAAATTATTTTATTTTATATAGTGTCAAAACGTTATGTGAATACTGACCAAAAATTGAAACACTTATTTGGTATTTTTATATACTTATACATTGTAATCTTTAATCCCATGAACATTAAATTTTTTTTCATATTTTTATTTCCAAAAATTTTACAACAAATGGATGGTAATATTTTCGATTATTATTCAAAACACTTTGCATCAAAACACTCATTTCAAACAAGATCTAATATTTATCATCCCATTCACAAGTTTTTAATATATTCATAATTAATAATTTTTGCAGATTAGTAATAATTTTTCACAAATTGGTGTGAAAAATGTATAAAACTTGTACAAATCTATTCATTTGTAACATATTCATACTTAATGATTTTTTACATATTGGCACAAAAATGTATAATTTGTATAAATCTTTTCATTTGTCAAGTAAATCAGCTATTTAGTTACTTTATACACAATTTGACCCACAATTGCATGTCATTACATTATTTATATTTCTTAACTTGGCTAGCTTTTAGTTCAAGAAATATTATTGGCTTGTCTTTCACTACACGAAAAGATTCAAAATCTTATTAGAGGGTAATGTGTAAAAAAATACCTTTTCTATATAGAAAATGTGTCAATACTCTTCTGTATTTAACAAAAATTCCTTATAATTTTTAAATTGAATAAATAATGACCTTTCATCAATTTAAATATTAAAATACTTAAAATGCTCTTAAAATAAAATAAAATATAAATAAAGAACACTTATTTCAAAATTTTGCAATTTTTATATTAAAAAATATATATATATTTGAATAACATTTTTAAATTAATCATTATATTTTTTTCATATTTTTATTTCCAAAAATTTTGCAACAAATGGATGGTAATATTTTCGATTACTATTCAAAATAGTATGCATCAAAACACTCATTTCAGACAAGATCTAATATTTGTCATCCCATTCACAAGTTTTTAATATATTCATAATTAATAATTTTTGCAGATTAGTAATAATTTTTCACATATTGGTGTGAAAAATGTATAAAATTTGTACAAATCTATTCATTTGTAACATATTCATTGATTTTTCACGTATTGGCACAAAAATGTATAATTTGTATAAGTAAATCAGCTATTTAGTTACTTTATACACAATTTGACCCACAATTGCATGTGATTTCATTATTTATATTTCTTAACTTGGCTAGCTTTTAGTTCAAGAAATATTATTGGCTTGTCTTTCACTACACGAAAAGATTCAAAATCTTATTAGAGGGTAATGGGTAAAAAAATACCTTTTCTATATAGAAAATGTGTCAATACTCTTCTGTATTTAACAAAAATTCCTTAGAAATTTTAAATTGAATAAATAATGACCTTTCATCAATTTGAATATTAAAATACTTAAAATAAAATAAAATAAAAATAAAGAACACTTATTTCAAAATTTTGCAATTTTTATATTAAAAAAAATTGGGTATTAGGGTACCTTGGAGTATATAGAAGCTTCACTGTGTCTTCATCTTAAACCCTGCGAAGGTTTACAGGGGAGAACAAAAAAAAAATTCCTTGATCAAGAATTAAATCGAAGATGGATAAAAGCTTTATAGGAGATCTCTCTTCTCTTCCTGAAGAAGATAAGATCAAAATGACCTCCATGATCGAGCAGCAACAAATCCGCGACAGATTCTTGCCCTTCCCCCCTCTCTCTCTGCGCGCGCGCGCGCACACACATATATATATTGTATATCTATGAATCTGGCACCTTTGTTGAATATATGATTGTTCATGGTTTATTTATTTATTTCGCTCCATCAACTAATCAATTCAGAATTTTGAATCCTTAAACCAAGATTCTCTTTTTCTTTTGAAGTATTTTAGAAATATCGAGCGTTAGTGTCAGATTGTTTGATTTACTTTTTGGGTCTCTATGAATTATGTTGTGACCCATACATTTGAGATTTTAGGAAAAATTACATATAAATGGAGTCAAAGTTCCATATTTACTTAGAGACTGAGTCAAAGTTCCATATTTCTCTAAAATGAATTACTAAGGTAGCACATGGTTTTTTACTGTTTAAAAAATTGTGGTGCCTAAAATGCCCTTTCCTAACAAAAAAAGTAGTACATTCAGTTCAAAAAAGTAGTACCTTCAGTTCAAAAAAGTAGTACCTTCGGAAAAAAAGTAGTACTTTCGCGGGTGTTTAAAAAACATGGACGCCAAAAAGTAATACCTTCAGTTCAAAAAAGTAGTACCTTCAAAGAAAAAGTAGTACCTTCGCGGAAGGGTATTTTAGACACCACAATTTCTAAACAGTAAAAAACCATGTGCCACCTCAGCAATCCATTTTAGAGAAATATGAAACTTTGACTCAGCCTCTAAGTAAATATGAAACTTTGACTCCATTTATATGTAATTTTCCCTTGATTTTAAGTCACTGTCAGTATTCAGTACTTTGATACCACAACAAATGCACTAAAACAATATTTTAGTTTCAATTCAGATACATTTAGTCTCAATGTCGCAAAATATAAAATCTATAGTATGTAATAAATGATAGAATTAGATCTGAAAATTGTAACACTACACACAATCTCAATCTAATAGTAAATAATATTAATAATAAATTTAATATAACTTAAATTAAGTAAAATAAGAACATGATTAAAAGATTAACACTTACTGCACCGACTTAATTTTGCTTTATTTGCACACGCAAAAAATTGTTCCGAAGGTCTACAATGATCGCATGCGTTGTCCTGTACCTAACAGCCAATAATTTTCCCTGCGTGGAGCCATCATTCAATCAATACATCAAAAAATTATGGATCTCAAAAGTATAGTAGATAGATATGTTTTAACAGGAAAAGGGGAGAAACGGATGCTCAATTGAAAGCGAGTAAACATAATTCCATGCTCAATTCCACGAAAGATGCATATAAAATTCTGTGGATCCATTAATTTTTTTTTTTTTTTTGATAGCATTCGATTTAAGATTTAGAATTGTCAAACAAAAATCCACCATTTTACATGGCCTGGCACTCTCATTACTGTTGCATAATGGCTATTATTGATAATTCAGCTTAAAGAAGCCTATAAATTGAATCTTTAAATAAAAATACCTTAATTAAGATACCTTTGAATTCAGATTATTCAGATTCTGTTTAGCCTTTAGTTCAGGGTATCAAAATTGGCATATAGATTTCTATTTCTTAAAATTATCTTCGAATAACAAATATGTGACATGAACATCCATTGTTTGAATGAATAATCTGAGATTCAATTATTGTTTAACTCCCATTTATTGTTTAAACTTGAGTCTAAAAATTATTGCAGGTAGGCGGTGAGGTGGTTGTGGTTAAAGGGCAAACTTCAATTAATGATGATGATTTCAAATTGAGATTATGTGACTAAAATGACAGAAATCTACTTCACACCAAAGAATTAGAAACGGAAAGCTGGCTAATACACATTTAAGTCATTTTATATGATCGTTACAACTCACAGGGCTGTTGTTATTTCCTACAACCAAACAAATTAAAAGAAAAATGACAAAAGAAACACATTAGATATTTCCCCATGATTCGCAAAGATGTTGAGATAATATAAAGTTCTCCTTGTTCAGGTGACATAGTTTAGGAACTCTGCAGCAGTCGCAACCGCACCTCCGGTGATGGCATCCATTACAATCTGGTCTCTGTTCTTGCTGCAGGCTGCAGATACCAGAGCCCCCGTCAATGCACCCCCAAGCATTGCATTCTTCTGCAACATGAAAATGGAGAGGCAAAAGGCAGAAACATCACCATCAGCTTATTATATGATTTGAATTCTTTACTTGGAATGGTGAATAACTGATGCTTTTGCAGGAGGGACTCGAAACAGAGGGAGAAAAAAGAACAAAATAAGACGTGATTTATTCAATCCATCTGATGATCAGAGGGAAAAATTGCAATAACAATGAGCACGGGTACAACCTCGAGCTCTCGTTAGAAAAAGTTGAACCACCTCATTTTGATCCTACACAGCTAAATTGGTAATGTTTCGAATGAAGGAGATTCAAATAGAAAAAGTAGTATGCCATGTGCTTCAGAAATTACCCAATCCCCGATGCCACAGAACCTCTTCATCCCGTATTCCATTCCGACATATACCCCAGCAACTGTTCCTGCTCATGCAATAAAAGACATCTTTCAAGTGATCCCTCATTTTTCAAAAAAGGAAACCATTCAATAATTTCAAATAACTGCTTCGTCTCCTGCCTAACATATCTCATATTTTATCAGTCAATATAAACGACACTCACCCCAATAGAGCCCTTCTTTACACATTTTCTTTAGCTGCAGAGAAGTAACTTCTGTTAGCATGACAACAAGCATGTTGAACTACTTTCTGTTTCTACATTTACTGTACAAGGTAAAAAAAAAAATGGGTGGGCATAACAAGGGACCGAGACCACAACTTTGTAACTTAATAGTTTTAAGTTGTACACTTAGTGTCTTATTGAAAACTGTTAGTGCTGCAAGAAATTGATTGAATTAGAAGAGACTTAACACTTAGAAAGAACATTCATGGGGATGCTTGATGTCATGGGTAACAAAAACGATTAAGTACATCAAATGGCTCATAATGGTTAGCAGCCC